GGAGCTGAGACAAACGTGCTGCACTGGATCTGCTCCTGCTTTTCTAACGCTGACCAATCCCAATGTTCCCAATGTTCCCAATAAAAGGAGTGTGTCCAGGATCGGCTGTCCCTGTTTCAGCCAAAGACACAGACCTGGGGGATTTGAGAAACTCAAGTTTATTCAGAGAGGAAAGACAGCCGGCAGCAGTGGGGTTTCATACCTAGAAACACCTTCAAAAATGCAACTAAGAGCAAATCACATATCTTCAAGTGTGTGAAGGAAGCAAAGTTTCTGAATGGCCACCGGAAAAGGTTATTATTGTGGCTTTTAAATGCCATTAAGTCCTTTTCAACCTGTAGCGACCCTGTGCACCACAGTACTAAACACTGCCCGATCCTGCACCATCGCAGAGTTACACCCTTGCTGGAACCTATTGTTGCAACCACTCTCCGTCCATCTCATTGAAGGACTTGCTTTTCTTCCAGGTCTCTCTAATGTACAAAGTACAATGTGCTTCTCCAGGAACTCTACTTTCTTTTCTTTCTTTGTTTTTTTTTAGGTTTGGCACTGAAATCTAAGCTTTCTGTCAGCTATTCCTTTTAAAAAAAATAATTTTATTGGGGGCTTGTACAATTCTTATCACAGTCCATACATCCATCCATTGTTTCAAGCACATTTGTACATTTGTTGCCATCATCATTCTCCAAACATTTGCTTCTATTTGAGCCCCTATTATCAGCTCCTCATTTGTTCTTCCTCCCTGCTCACACCCCCTCCCTCATGAACCCTTGATAATTTAGAAATTTTTATTATTTTATCATTTCTTACAGTGTCTGGTGTCTCCCGTCACCCACTTTTCTGTTGTCCAAACTCTACTTTCTTATTGTATCTTCAAAGGTTTGCTACCCTTCCTTCTAAGGAGCCCTTTGTGTGTGTATTTCTTCTATGACACCTCTGTTTGTCCTGTAAGCAGACAGTCCACGGTCCTTTCCGCATTCCTCTCGAGAACCATGATTCCAAAGCATCAATTCTCTTTGTACACACCTTCCAACTTTGACATGCAAATTTGAGAAAACCGAGCCCTGTGTTGGTGCACCTTCGTCCTCTAAATAGCATCCTGCCTTTCAATGGACCAAAGTGGTCTTGTGCAGCAGATTAACCAAAGAGGACAGACACTTCTTTTGATCTCTTGACTGCTGCTTCCATGAATATTGATTGTGGATTCAGGCAAGATAACGTCCTTGGCAACTTCCACCTTTTCTCCCATCCACTTGGGGAGGTGTTGTTCTTGTTTACATTGAGAAGTAGTCCATACAAGGAGTTGCAATCTGTTGTCTTCATCGGCAGGACCTTTAAGATCCTTGTCACTTTCAGCAACTATGTTGTGTCACTGGCATATGGTAGGTTGTTAATAAACCTTCCTGCAACACGCAGTCGTCTTCACAGGATCCAACTTCTGTGATGATTTGTTCAACATACGTTATGGATGAAATATGTTGAGAGAATGTATCTGTGATACAGACCTTTCCTGACTGAAGCCATGCGGTGGTATTCCCTTGTTCTGTTTTCACAGCTGCCTCTTGATCCCTGTCTGACTTCCACAAGAGCACAAGGAAGTGCTCCTGAATGTGCATTCTTAATGTGATTGTCTCCAGTTTATTATGATCTCCACAGCCTAGTGCCTTTGCCTAGTCAATGAAACACAAGTGAACATGTTTCTGATGTTCTCTGCTCTGAGCCTAGAGCCCTGTGACACCAGCCATGATGTCTCTTTTTCAAATTCCTGAATCTGGCCAGACCCTCATGAATCTCCCTGTCAGTGAACTGGTGCAGCAATTGTTGGTTGATCTTCAGAAACAATTTACTTGATTGTGATATCAGTGACATTGTTCTGTAGTTTGAGCATTCTATTCAGTTGCATTTTTTGGAACTGTGTATCAAATTGGAATATTTTCATTTTCTTCAGATTTATCTTGAATTTATATATGAGAAATTGATGATCTGATCCTCAGTCAGCCCCTGAATGGAGTTCTCCATCATTTCGTTCCCACATATGTAGTTTTTTTCTCCCCTGTGTATTCCATGTGGAAAAGTCTTGTGGAATGTGCAGTGTACATTTGTTTTTATCTCTCCCTTTATTTAAAATCGTTTTATTAGGGGCTCATAGAACTCATCACAATCCATACATGCATCACTCGTGTAAAACACATTTGTACATTCATTGCCCTCATCATTCTCAAAATATTTGTTCTCCACTTAAGCCCCTGGCATCAGCTCCTCATTTTTCCCCACACTCCCCCCTTGACAATCATTTTATTGGGGGCTCTTACAGCTTTTTTAACATTCCAATCATCAGTTTTATCAAGCTTATATGTACATATGTTGCTATCGTCGTTTCCCAAACATTTTATACTTGACTTTGGGATAAGCTCCATTTTTCAAATTTGTTTTTTCCTCTTTCGTTCGAGTAATGCCTGCCCTTTTTGCTTTTATTTTGTGAACCACAACTTGCATCATTTGATCAGTTTACCAAAACCTTGATAATGGAGAAAAGCTTTCCACTGAAAATACAATAGTAGAAGTCCTGGAAAGTGGCTCGAAAGTAGGAGAAATATGTGGATTTTACGTCATTGAAGATCAGAATAACAAGCGGAACAGTCATGCAAGGTGAGTACCATTCACTATGATAGCCCTGGTTCTGAAGGGAAACTGAAGGCACAATGATTTCATTAACATATTTCTGTCCTATAGGTCTTCATAGCGGGGAAATGAAATGAACAGATATATCATTCATGAGATTTTCACGTTCATTTGTATAGGTGTATATGTGGGTATACACACATACACATTTGGATAGTGATATTTATAGTGAGTTCTGTAAACCCCTGTGCTGTTGAATATTATGACTCATGGGAGTGCCACCCCATTGAAGCCACCAACCATTGAGATTTCTGCTGACCTCAAGGTCTGTCTGTCGAAAGCACCAGCTGTCCCTTTCCCTGACTTCCTCTCCTGTCAAGAGTTACAGGCTTGGAAATACACCCTGTCCATTAAACAGGGTCACTGTCAGTGAACATGGACTCAACGGACTTGAGTGTATGTATCTATGTGTGACTGTATATACATTTATACACAAAGCTATAAAGCTTCTAATATTGTGTGTTCAATGAAATTTGACACTTGAATAAAATGTGTATCAGACATTGAATATTTAAAATATAGTTTACTTATATACAATTACAGTGCCCCATGTGATAGAAATAGAATAAAATGAATCAGAACATCTCTGTGAGATGATTTGATCTTTGAAAGTTGAAGTAATTCAAAGTAAAAAACAAACAAACATGTTTATTGTGATGGTTATCATGAAAGTAGAATCAATATGTATCTACCTGCTTGCGACTCTTTTTAGCAGAAGATCTATTGAACAGAATACCTGTGAAATTAAGAAGAAAAGTCAGCGTGGACAGACTTACAGCTGGATTCCAGATCGTCACATGCTCAAAAGAACTTACAATGAATCCTCCATGGACCAATCATCATCACTTAAGCGTCATCCTACTTTTCACTTGGAATGTGATACCTGTCAGGATGGAGAACACAGAACAGGCTGCAGGTGTCCTTACTCCCACGGTCCTGTGAGAACGCTAACTGCAGAGAATCCTAAGGAATGTAAGGACTGTGGAAACACCTTTGGTGAATCCTCAGAGGTCCTTGTACATTTAAGAGGTCACAGTGAGGAGGAGTCTGTTGATAGTAAGGAACATGGCAAAGTTATTCATCTTTTTTCATCCTTGGGTAGGCATATGAGAACTCACAGTGGAGAGAGGCCCTATGAATGTAAGGAATGTGGCAAGCCTTTAAAAGATTCCTCATCCCTCTCTAAACACAGTGTAAAGAGGTATTATGATTGTAAGGTGTGTGACCAATCCTTTACTAATTCCTCACACCTTGTTGCACATCAGAGATTTCACAGCGGACAGAAACCTGATGAGTGTAAGCCTTGTGGCAAAGGTTTTAGCCACCTTTGTTACCTTACTCAACATAGCAGAACTCACAATGGAGAGAGGCTTTATGAATGCAATCAGAGTAGCAAAGCCTTTATTCATCGATCATCCCTCATTCACCATAGGAGAACTCACAGTGTAAAGGGCTCTTTTGAGTGTAAGGAATGTGGCAAAACCTTTACTCATCGCCCAGACTTAGTTAAACATCAAATAGTTCACAGTGGAGAAAAGCCTTATGAATGTAAGGTATGTGGCAAATGTTTTAAGATCCCCTCATCCCTCACTAGACATTGGAGAATTCACAGTGGAGAGAAGCCTTATGAATGTAAAGATTGTGGGAAAATGTTTACTCAACGCTGCCACCTTCTTTTACATAGCAGAATACACACTGGAGAGAGGCCCTATGAATGTGAGGAGTGTGGCAAAGCCTTCACTGATTCCTCAAAACTCAGTATCCATAGGAGAATTCACAGTGGAGAGAAGCCTTATGAATGTAAGGTATGTGGGAAAGCCTTTGCTTACCAAACATCCATCATTACACATAGCAGAATTCATAGTGGAGAGAAGCCTTATGAATGTACGGAGTGTGGGAAAGCCTTTCCTCGACACTCTCAACTTATTTCACATAAGAGAACTCACAGTGGTGAGAGGCCTTATGAATGTAAGGAATGTGGGAAAAGTTTTAAGTGCCTTTCATACCTTATTTTACACATGAGAAATCATAGTGGAGAGAGACCTTATGAATGTAAGGAATGTGGGAAGGCCTTTACTCGTCACCCTACCCTCATTAAACATAGGAAAATTCACAGTGGAGAGAGACCCTATGAATGTGAGGAGTGTGGCAAAGCCTTCAATGATTACTCAAAACTCAATGCCCATAGCAGAATTCACAGTGGAGAAAAGCCTTATGAATGTAAAGATTGTGGGAAAACGTTTACTCAACGCTGCCACCTTCTTTTACATAGCAGAATACACAGTGGAGAGAGGCCCTATGAGTGTGAAGAGTGTGGCAAAGCCTTCACTGATTCCTCAAAACTCAGTATCCATAGGAGAATTCACAGTGGAGAGAAGCCTTATGAATGTATGGAGTGTGGGAAAGCCTTTACTCAACAGTCTCACCTTATTGCACATAGGAGAATTCACAGTGGAGAGAGGCCTTATGAATGTAAGGAATGTGGAAAAGCCTTTACTCGTCACTCTGTCCTCACTAAACATAGGAGACTTCACGGTGGAGAGAAACCTTATGAATGTAAATAATGTTGCAAAGCCATTAGTCTTGTTACAACCCTCATTCCGCATAGAACTCACAGGAAGGAGGCCTTATGAATGTTAGCTAGGCAAAGACTCTGATTCCTCTTCACCCCTCATTGAACATATGATCATCCACAATGGAAAGAAGCCTGGTGCATGTATGGAATGTGCCAAAGCCTTTGCTTGTTCCTCAGCTCTCAGTTCACATAAGATTTCTCTCAGTGGATAGAGGTCTTATGAATGTAATCTACTTTGGAAAGCATTTATTCAGTCTTCATTGCTCACTAAAGATCCCTGATGGGTGAGATGTGATGGACAGAAGGGTGCCTGGTCTGGTGTTTCTCAGATCGTTGTCCTTGGCTAGCTGAGTATATATAGGCCTCACGAGAAGATCGCTAATGGATGAGATGTGAGTCTTCTTGCTCTGGTCCTTCACCTTTAGTCCCATTTTGCCCGGGGAGCTCTGCCCTTTCTTTAGGTGAATACCTTGTGCAGCCTAGTTTCTGCTACCTCCTTCTCTGTGTGACCATGAGCAAATTACTGGACTTATTTGCCCCTATTGTTAGAGAAAATGAATCAATAATGTGTGTTTTGCACATGGTGAGCTTCAGCTCTCAAATATTGTTACCTGGTCCTACCACTCAGCTCCTAACCTGCTGTGTGTTAGAAAGGCAACCTCAGCCTTGCCTGGCCCATGAAAATTCCATCCAACAGCCACTGTGCTTGGGGTAGACTGGCTTCTCCTGACAATGACACTAGTTCCACAGCGGTGCCATTTTTATAAGCACTCCCTAGAATCTCATCCCTGTACTGCATTGGAGCCCCTTGAAGTCAATGCTCAGCAATATCTTGAGTCCCTCCCACCTAGCATGCAGGATCCAGGTCTTCACTTGCCCTCCCAAGAGCTTTTGATTTAACTCACTTCCCCTATTTTGTAGAAACTGTGTTAAGTTTGTAATGTATGTGGCCTACACAAATTAGTATGTGTTCCCGAAATTGTTGGAGATGAATTGTTGAGACTTAGAGGACAAGAAATAAATTGATGATTTATGAAAAGACTGAAGTTCAAATTTATTTTGTGTTTCAGGACCTGCAGACCAGGAAGGTAAGGGGACATATGAAGGGGGAATGAAAATCAAAATCTCTCCCATACTGACTGGATCTCCCCATCTGTGCTGGTTCTACCTAGTTCAAACCGGCTTCCTTCACAGGCATGTACTTGTCCCATGTCCTGCCCTTCAGTGCCTGGCCCCTGCCTCCCTCTCAGTTTTCCTCTGACTCAAGCGTACTTCTCAGAACACAGTTTTCCAGCTTGAATTCCCTTCTTTCCAGCTCAGACATAAGCTTCCCATCCTTGCCACCATACCTTTCATTCCTTCCTTCCCACGTGGCCTCCGTTGTTAGTCATTAAAGTTAGTTAGTCATAAAGCCATGAACTTCTTGACGTCATAGTTCCTGTTCGCAGAACATTACTCCCAACTCAGCAGTCCTATTGCACCACCTAAACCTACCCTGTGGGTTTCTGAGACTGTAACTCTTTGTGGGAGTTGAAAGCCGCATCTTTCTCCCCCAGAGTGGCCGGTGGTGTCAAACTGCTGATCTTGCAATTCGCAGCCTTACTATAACCCTGAAAACTCCTTAATACTGCCTCTCCTTGATCTTTGTTTGTCGTTTTGCCCATGATTCCACAGTGGACACTTGTGTTCTGTGTACTGCTTGGTGTGACAACGTTTGCTCTCACGCTTCCTCAAACCTACTGTCATCCAGTTGATCCAGCTAATAAGCCCACGGACCAGGCAACACCTGCTGAGAGTACAGATAGCAGCCCTCTGCAATGAGACCAGTCCTGTGGATTGAGGGGCTTTTTGCATGACTTTGTTCATGTGTGGCAATGTCTTCCATGGGTTGAGGCATTGTTTAATGCCTTCTATTGTCGAATGCGTTCAGTGCTTTATCAGCTAGCTGAAACATGACATTTGGCTTTCCATCACTTCCTGGAGCCTTGTTTTTGATTCATGAGTGCAGTGAAGCTTGAACTCCTTTCAGGACCATGGTTTTTGGATATATAAGACCTCCTGACATGGTGGACTGTCCATTAGTACAGTGATCATACATTCTTTCTATCTTCTGTTGATATTTCCTAAACCATTCAATATGTTGCCCATAGAATCTTTCAAGTCTGCAAATCCAGGCTTGACATTTTTCTTCACTTCTTTCAGTTTAACTTGTGCTAAGTAGGTTCTTCTCCTTTGGTTTCCTGATTGTATTGTTTCATTATATTGTTTGGCTCTGTCTTCTCCAGCTGCCTTCGGCCTGCATCCATCCATTTTAGCTACTCTAAGATTGAGAGAAAGCTTCAGAATTTCATCTCACATCCACTTGATTCTTCCTCTCTTTCCTGTCTTTTTATTGACCGCTTCCTTTCTTCATGAAGGATGGTTGTAATGCTCCCCGTGCCCCCTCTCCTTCTCACGTGTCTTTTGTCATTCATGTTTAATTCCTCAAATCTGTTTGAGATTTTTTGAAATTCACGTGAATAGCCTGAGCTCCTCTGTTGGCCCTCTTGGACTTGTTTTAATTTTCTTCAGATTTCAGGCAAAAGGAATCAGAGGAAGGCTTTAGGAAGCAAAGTTATGGATAGAGGTATAACTGTAGGTGTTTACATGTGTAAACATTTTAATCCATAAAAATGGCAGCATTGGCCAATGTACATATATTTATATGGCAGTACACTAAAGTTGTGGATGGACCTTGGGCCACAGCTCATCTCTCCCTCAATACAGGAACACTTTGTTCTAGCAAACTGGCATTTTGTGATGCTCATTATGCCTCCACTCCCTGCTCCCCATAAGACAAAAGATCGCTGACAACTAAATGGGCACATAAGCAAATGTGGTGAAGAAAGTGGATGGTGCCAGGATTAAAAGATATAGCATCTGGGAGTCTTAAAGCTTTGACGTTAAACAAGCAGCCATCCAGCAATGAAGCAACCACGTGGAAGAAGCACAGCAGCTGGCGTGATTGTGAGGTGTCCATAGGACCTGGTAACTGGCATTGGAAGATCCAAAGCAAGCAACCAAAAACATATTAAGAACAAGCAGAGACCCAAAGCTCATCTATACTCAATGGAACATCCCCCCACAGAGGGGTCGCAGGGAAAGGATGAGTCAGTCCCTGTGCAGCAAAGCACTGATGGAACAGGCAATATTCTTCTCATCTCTTGAGGCTTCCTTACCCCCCAATGTCATGACCCCATTGCTGCTTCTCAGTCTGGAATAGACGAGAGCATGTATAAAAGTATAGATAAGAGATAAAAGCTCAGGACACACGGAATCCAGGAACAGGAATTGCAATTAGTGATACCAGTAGTGTAGGAGGTAGTTGGGGGAAAGGAGAAGAAGGGTAAACCTATTGCGAGGATGGACACATAACCACACACACCCCTGCAGTGGGAAGAACACAGAAACCACAGGCGAAGGGAGACAGCGGTCTGTGTGAGATAGGGAAATAACAATTTATAACCTGTCAAGAGACCATGAGGGTGGGAGGGCAGGAGAAAAACGAGGAGCTGATCCCAAGGGCTCAATGGAAAGTAAATGTCTAGAAAAGAACGATGGCAACATATGTACAAATATGCCTGTTATAATTGATGTATGGATTGTAATGAGTTGTAAGAGCCCCCAATAAAATGATCTTTTATTTATTTTTTTAAAATGATCCTTTAATTAAAAACATGTTTTTTTCTTCAGCTTTATTACGAACTTATATATGAGGAATTGATGGTAAGTTTAACAGTCAATCCCTCAACTGGTCTTACAACTGTTGATATTTAGCATCCCAGTAGTACATTCCCACAGATGTGGTCAGTTTGATTACTGTGCATTCCATATTGAGCTGTCCTTGGATATACGCATCTTTTTTGTTGAGCTGAAAATATGTATTTGCTGTGAAACAGTCATTGTTTTTGTAAAATTCTGTTGTGCAATCTCTGTCTCTGTTTCTATCAGCAAGTGCATATTTTCCAAATACTCTTAACATCATCGTCTTCTCCAACTTTGGTATTCCAATGGTCAAAATTAGTAATGCATCTTGATCGCATGCTTGATGAATTTCAGGCTGATGTCCTTGGTAGAATTCTTACATTGTTCATCATTAGCTTTTGTGGTTGGTGCTGGTACATTTGAATAATAGTTGTACTGATGGAATTTCCTCGAAGGCAGATAGAATCCTATCTCAGGCAGCCCTGAACTTTAAGATGGAGGTTGCAATGTCCTTTTTGACAAAGGATTCCCTGGCATTCCTCTCAGTGTGTTTTCCCAGCGTAGTAAATCATGGGATTTTCTGAATCAAAAAGGCCAATACCAGTCCGTGTCAGCTCACTGATGCCCCGGATGTCCACATTTATGGGTTCCATTTCATTTTTGACCCGTTTCAATTTTTCTAGATTCATCCTTTGCCCATTCCCCGTTCTCAAGATTAGCAGCTTTTTACAGCGTTTTCTTATTACCTTGAGTTGTGCCCCCTGAGGAAATGAAGGTCCTCTTCTATAGGAACAATGGCTTCATGTTTACGCAGAAACCTGAAGGCTTAGAAGTGTACCCAAAAAGCACAATGAAATTCCCTCTGGAAGACAGAGGACTGGCCAGGTCGGGGAAGGGAGAGCTAGTCCCTTTCCTCCCCAGACTCAGCCTCACGCTCTGCAGATCCGGACCTCCTCCCTTTTCCCTGCGCCCCTCCCCTGGCCCCGCCTCCCGGCCCGCCCACCACCTGCAGACTCCGCCCCCTGTTCCGTGATGCAACTTCCTGCTCAACTTCCTTCTGAGCTGGGAGTCTCCCCGGGAAGGTCACGAGAAAGGTAGGTGAGACTTTGCAGCGCTAGTTTGATGGTTCCCCTGGTGTATCGCGGGCCCTGCGCCCACAGGTGTGTCCGCGGTCCCTGCGGACGTGGAAGTGCCCGCTCCGCCTTTGTCCGCTCTCCCGGGGCGTCGTGACCCGCTTTGACCTTTCTGGTTAAATCAGCTCCGAGCTGATCGCCGGCATCTCTGACTTTGGGCCTCGGCCCTCCTCCCCCTTTTCCTGCTCGCAGCCCCCCACGGACCCTCCCTG